AAAGAAAACTGGAACGAAACAACTAACAGCCTAAAAACATCTATGTTGAAAGGCAAGCTGGTTTAGAAAAGACACAGAATTTAGAAAGCAAACTACCTTGGTTTAAGTAGAAATTTGGTCAGTTACTAGCTATGTGAACTTTCACATTTTATTTACCTTTGCTAGGATTATTTCCTTACCTGCAAATAAAAATACCCAATGTCTGATACTATACCAGGCATAAAACAGGTATTCAATAAACATTGAAACATGAGTGAATGAAAAAAGAATATGTAAAAAATAAAAACTACCACCTATGAAAGAAAGTTAATGCTATTAATACATCCCCTTGAATTAAAAGCTAGCAGGAGGGTATTGATTAAAACAGGGCACAAAGGAACTTTTTTGGGGTGACAAAAATGTTCCTATCATGACTGTGATAATGGCTACACCATTATATATATTCGTCAAAACTCATCAAATTGTATACTTAAAACTGCTGAATTTTATTATATATAAATAACAACTTAATAAAACTTACTTTAAAAAAAAAATCCCTAACAGGACCTTAGCTTCTAAGTTAGAAGATATTGCAATAATACCTTCCTTCCCTTTCTCCTTTTCCTACTGCTAAAATAAGTGAATAGTTAAACTGCTTTTATTTTTAAGGTATTTGTAGTATGAAATATTCATATTTATGAGAGTATAAAATATACAGATAAATTTTAAAGAGTAACAATAGAACATGGTTAATTCACTTTTGTTTCTTCCTTAAATCAAAAAGGCTTACTATTCACCCACAAGGCTATAAAAGGTCCTTACTCTTTCTTCTGCACTTTTGAGAAGACACTCACCTCTTCTTTTGATGTTTCTGAGTCGAGTTGTAGTGTGAGATACATAATGATATGAGGAGTGTTTAGGATATTCTGCTGGATACCTTCAACCTCTTCTCCCCATAGAAGTTTGACTAAGAAAATATTAAGCATAATTGTAAATTTAAACTAGGTTCACTGTATACAATATACTTTACATATATAAATTATATTATACAAATTAAATCATGATTGTATAGTATACAATCATATTATATAATATTTATATCATTTATTCATTTTATAATAATTATATAGTTTAATATAATTATATTTATCATTTATAATGTATAATTAGTAGTTACAGTATAATTATGCACAATTTATAGAAGAAATAGCACTGAAATATTAATGACAATAGTATGTAGGTGAAGAGAGGGTGATTGGAGTTAAGGTGTAGTATAGGCCTTGAATTATTTGAAAAGTGGTTAAGACAGTGTTGACCTTTAGAATTTGTTAAGATAAATTTGTCATTAATAAATTTTAAGAGTAATTACTAAAGAAACAGAGTATATAACAGACAAATAATACATAACCAAAATAGGTAAGAAAAACATCACAGAGAAAGCAGTTCAAATAGATTTCAAAGATGGCAAAAATATCACAGATACTCTAGAAATAGGTACAATAAATATGTACCCATAAGAATTAAAAACTTAAAAAAATAGATTAAAAAATAGAAAATTTAAAATATATATATAATTGTTTGAATCAAAAACACAATGGAGTGGTTAAACAACAGTCTGGACATAGCAGAAGAAAAGGCACATTCCTTAAAAAGGAACAACAGACTGACAGTAGGCTTCAAAGGTCAGAAGACAAAGGAATACTATCTTCAAACAGATTAGAGAAAATAACTATCTACTTAGGTGGTATAAGCAATACCATACGTTCAGTTTATCTTCTTCCTGGCCACACATGAAGACTATATTTCTCACCTCCTTGTATCTGGAGAGACCAAGAAACTAGTTCTAGCCAATAGAACATTATTTCTACTTTCAAGCCGGGCCTCCAAAAGGTCCTATGTGATATTGCATGCTTTCTCTTTTCTCTCATTGGCCAGCTAGATGCAAAAGATCCAACAGAGGACTCTGGAGCCCTTTGGAATAATGGGGCTACAGTCACTGAGCTACATGACCAGAAACATTTACATAAAATGAGAAATAAACTTTCATCGTCCTATACCACTCAGAGTTGTTTGTTCTAGCAATTAGCCTATCCAGATTAAGACAGTCTACTCTGATTAATACAATCTAAAAATTATAAAGCTACCTCTCAAGATGGGTAAAAAAAAATCATCAGAAAATAACACAAAAAGAATTTATTACCAACAAACTTTAACTAAAAAGAAATGTCCTAAATATGTTTTTAGGAAGAAAAAACCTGATCCAGTAAAGACAGTTTGAGATGTAAGAAACAATGGTGAATAAAGAAAATATTAAGCATAATTGTAAATTTTAAAACTAGGTTCATCTGTATAAATATACTTTATCATTATAAATATATTATACAAATTAAATCATGATTGTATAGTATATAACTATTATATAATATTTCTGTATCATTTTAATATTATATTCTATATAGTTATAATTTATACATTTTATAATGTAATAATTAGTAGTTACAGTATAATTATGCACAATTTATAGAAGAAGAATAGCACTAAAATATTAATGATAATATGTGGTAGGGTGAAGACAGGGGGTAATGGAGTTAAGATGTAGTAAGGCCTTGATTATTTGAAAAGTGGTTAAGACAGTGTTAACTTTAGAATTTGTTAAGATAAATTTGTCATTATAAAATTTTAAAGAGAAATTACCAAAGAACGAGGTAATTCTCTCTT